AACGTTTCAACCTATTCTCAATGTTGATACAACGTTGTTGTGCCGAATGGGTTATATCGACGTCAGCAAAATATAAAACGGATCAATATAAATTATTTATGGCAATATAATAGAACACCATTCATTAACAAGGACAATGAGAGTGAATATGGCCAGAGGCTGAAGGTTGCGCGGGAAAACTTGCTCTTGCATGAAAGTACTGCGTAGGAAAGCCCAAGATCATATGTCTGGCTTCTCTGTCCCTCGTCTGGTTGGTTTCCGGCCTTGCACTTTCATGGTCGAGCTCTTGGATACGCATATTTCTTGCCTGTCCTTTTGTGTACGAATAAGTTTGAGTAGGCGTATTCCTGAGTCGGTATTTCGGTAAAATAGATTGACATTATTGGTATCACTTAGCATGTGATATGAAATTTACTTCTTTCGGTGAAGATATTGTATACAGTCGGCATGTGGTAGATCTCATGATGTTCGAAGATAGTCTTTTGTTAGTATTTAGCGATTTATTTTGTTTTCGTTTCAGTTCCACAAGTCTTGGGAGATAATACAGGGTCTGTCAATAAAAAAGGAGACCCTATACTATATGCCATAAAATCTATAATTGTAAAACGATTCTAATTTAACTTCAGCACGTTAAAATATGTTTAGCCAACATTCTTGAGTGAAAATTTGAAACCCATGTCTGTACTCATTTAAGAATACCATGAAAATGAAAAAATAAAAACAGGTAATAAATTGTGTGTTAACTTTAATTTTATATTTTTTTCGGATCCCAAAATTCCATTTTTACCTGAAGACAAGTTAATTAAAAAGCACTACAGGCTTGAAAAGGGATATGGAATAAAGAAATTGTTAGCAGAATTTCCAGATGAAGGATGGACAGCTGGTGGATTGGATAAATTACTTTGGAAAATTGGTAATACTGGTGGAGTAGAAAGAACACCAGGTAGTGGGCGCCCATAAAGTGCAAGAAGAGAAGAGAAAGTTGAAGAAGTTTTTTCGAGAATTCTGTCAAGAAGATGCCCCAGGGATTGGGCGACAATTGTGACACCGTTTTTTTTTTCCAACAAGCCGAGAAAAGAAAAACGTCTGACAACCTGATTTGGAGATAGGGGAAACGATGTCGCATTTGACGCAGACATGCATGGAGGGGAGGGGGAGGAAGGGGGATTCCAGAAGTAAGGAGTCATCGCGAAACTCATTCTCTCCCTTCCCTCTCACACTTCCAATGTGCATTCAAGCCCCACTTATATCACTAGAGCAATGTCATTTATTCTCTGAAAGATTCCCCAAAAACAAGAAAGTCATTCACAACAGCTGGGACTGGGCATATGCATCCCCGGCAAATTCAAAGGCAAGCTAACGGTACATAATCTCTATAATTTTTCCAAGTATCCCCCAACATGTTAAAAATTTGGATTATTCCTCAAATGGAGTTTATTTTCGCTGTAATAGGAAAAAATTCTTAGGAAGATTTTCTTTCGGAAAACATGGCTCGACTGGTTTCATGAAAAATGTGAATGAAAATAAATTTATTAATAATCTCCAATCCCACTGGGACTCCTTCGCAACCCCCCTTAGACCCTTTTGGAACCCACAGTTTGAGAACCGCTGCTAAAGCCTATATGGCGATTTTGCCATTTTCGCTATTTAAAAATAAGTAATCCATTGAAATGAGAGAAAAACCAGTGTTAAAAAAAATAAATGCCGTTCTCTGCAATGCATGCAATTAAATTTTCACGAATTCTGCGATGATGCCGATGCCTATGCCCAGTCCCAGCTGTTGTGAATGACTTTCTTGTTTTTGGGGAATCTTTCAGAGAATAAATGACATTGCTCTAGTGATATAAGTGGGGTTTGAATGCATATTGGAAGTGTGAGAGGGAAGGGAGAGAATGAGTTTCGCGATGACCCCTTACTCCTGGACTGCCCCCTCCTTTCCTCCCCCTCCCCTCCAGGCATGTCTGCGTCAAATGCGACACCGTTTCCCTCTCTCCAAATCAGGTTGTCAGACGTTTTTCTTTTCTCGGCTTGTCGGGAAATAAAAAAACGGTGTAAGAGAATAAATGACATTGCTCTCGTGATATAAGTGGGGCTTGAATGCATATTGGAAGTGTGAGAGGGAAGGGAGAGAATGAGTTTCGCGATGACTCCTTACTTCTGGAATCCCCCTTCCTCCCCCTCCCCCTCCCCTCCAGGCATGTCTGCGTCAAATGCGACACCGTTTCCCCTATCTCCAAATCAGGTTGTCAGACGTTTTCCTTTTCTCGGCTTGTTGGGAAAAAAAAAACGGTGTCACAATTGTCGCCCAATCGCTCCAGGAACAGATTCCTGCACGGATTTCGGATCTTCGACTTCGGCCTTTTAAAAGTGTCCTTGGACACTTAGTACTGCTGATGAAGAAAAACGAGTAACTCGGGCGAACAGACTGCTGAAACGTATGACTGTTTTTTTATTTTCATGGTATTCTTAAATGAGTACTGCTATGGGTTTCAAATTTGCACTCAAGACTGCTAGTTAAACATATTTTAACGTGTTGAAGTTAAATTAGAATCGTTTTACAACAATTATTTTATAGCATAAAGTATAGGGTCTCCTTTTTTACTGGCAGACCCTGTAGTTCAGGTTCCTTGATCCGTCAGGTTATCTAGCGAATTCAGAGCTTCTCCAGCCATTCAAAAAAAAGGTGACCACAGCTAGAGACTAAACGTGGAGGAGGGCCGTTGCAACCTTGGTTGCTGAGTATGATCGGGGAGGTGACCCTTACCAGACCGAGATACACACAACTGAGGTCGGAGAGGGTGATGGCCTTGGGCCCAATGTGCATGTCTCACCCACTTCCCACTCCCCGCCTCTCGCTGCAGGGCTACATAAAACCCAAGTGAGATTTGGGTTACGGAATGATTTTTCATTTATTGGATAGAGAATGCGCGGAATGCATGAAGTGATGATGTAGTGGCTGCCCCGCGCCGTGAATACTCCTGAGTAAACGCTGGAGAGGAGGAATCGAACACGCCTAGGGCCACTGATACGTGCCTGAAAGCTATAAACCAGGGCTTCCCAATCTTTTTCACGCGCGAACCCAAAAATCACGATCGTACCATTCAGGACCCAAGAACTGATTGAAGTTCGACAGGCTCCACCTATGCGCTAAAATAGCAAAGAAAATACAACTTGGCATTTAGTCACCGGTTCGCGACCCCTGGGTTGGGAAGCCCTGCTATAAACCTTACACTCAGCCTGGACACGCACGATGTTGAAATGCAGCAACAAAGACAGTCGGATAGTCGGTTTTTCTAAATGCATCGTGTCCACGTATGCGAACAGACGAGTTTAGGAGCTATAGAAGCCAGTGTCAAGGCCCCTAGTTCTTACAAAATAAGATAGGCCTACGTCTCTTCACCTGTTGAGGTACATATCCGAGATATCTCGTGTTTGCGTGTTGCCTTGCGCAGACCCGCACTCGAGATATCACGTTTCGAGTAAATCTCGTTTCGAGTAAATCCCACGCCTGTCCGGACACATTGCCAGTCGGTTTTCCTAAATGCATCGTGTCAACGTATGCGAACAGACGAGTTCAGGAGCCATAGTAGCCAATCGCATGCGCGTAATGAACATGAGGTTGCTCCAAAAGGAAAAATTTCCCCACTTACTCCCTGGATGTTACAATGGGCAGGAATGCCTCTTGACGTCTCTTCCCTAGCCTTGAACCGATACTTGCGAGGAATTCGACTATGGGACCTTGGACACTGTGCTCCATTTCGATTAAATTAGGTCTCCTTTTTTTGGAAATAGAACAGGGACTCCATGCAAACACTACGGTGTCTGCGTGTCAACGGAGAGGTTTCTTCGAAGTTTGAGAAAATAAAAAACGTATCATCTCTTCTAAGTTCAAACTTCCCTCCAACTCACAAATGCGGTAACCTCAGCATCGATCACCACTTTACCATTGAGCTTTTGTTGAAATGCTTTTATCTCCTTTGAGTTTGGCATCCACGAGAGCCTCCATGTCGAGCAGCTGCTTCTTGGGATCGAAAGGTCTCAGGTCAGGTAGTTTAGACACGTCTGCCGCATACCCCGAGAGACGAACAAGAGGAGTCTTCCAGGCCAAGATGACCGACAAAAGACCTGTCGGTAGACCTCGTGCAAGGCGGAGCGATAACAGGGAGTTTTGGTAACCCATTCTTGAGAGGACGGCAAGGGATGTCGGACGGCTGACGTCACTGGTGACGTCACCAGCAGTTTTAAAACGCGTGAGGAAGACGTCTAAGACGTGAAGGGGCTCTTCCAGCCGTTCTCCCAGGAACGTGATCGCGACGTAAAATCTACCAATCAGGAACGACTTAATAGTCGCCTGAACTTCGGTACAGCGCGTGATTGATGTGTGATTCGTTTAAGTCAGTCATTCAGGAAGGAAAGCTACTATTGATGGCGAAGCAGCTGAAATTCAAGGTACAGTATGCCCAGGCTGGGTTTCTAGACAGCTGTCTCGCGTCTGCAGCATGGGTTTCCCGATCAATATAAATGTAGATTTTGCTCGAGATGGGTCCCAAATATCCAAAAGCCAAACCATCCCCAGGACAGCAACTGACATGTCTTCGTCATCAGAGGAGCAGGATGCAACCCAGACATGAACTTCGGTTACTTTGCCGTGAAAGACGGACAGAAAGGAAGCACTATATGTTGCTGGGGATAGTGAATGATGGAAGAATGGGACAGAGACACAGCCAATGGTTGAAACGTCTGCATGCGACCATGATGAACTAATATCAGACAAAGGAATCAAGAACGTTAGTCCAGTAGGCAAACTGAAAAATTCATTCTTATAGTGAAACCCCTTCTTAAGGAAAGAATATTTAGTTGCAGTAGTTCAAAACAAGGGGAAAATGCTGGATTTGGATATCTGGGAATTTGTGAGTTTACCAGATTGTACCCTAGCTGTGTATCACTGTATCACTGAGTCGACTATGCCCTTAGATTGGATGTCGTTCGAACACCATTTGCGGAGAGATCCGTGGATGTTACTCGCCGTTCCAGATCTGGAACGCGTAGCCAAAGTGCCATTCGAATATCTGTAACTTGAACGCTTAGTTAAACGTTCACGTTGCCGTCCTCCTGAAAAACGGATAACCAAAACCTTCTTACGTCGCTCGGCTTTGACACGAGAAGCTCGGCATTTCACCAGCTGAATTGCCCAGGTCTATTGCCCAAGTCTATTGCAGAAGTCTATTGCCCAGGTTCGAGGTCATCGGAGGATGCTCCTGGGCATGCTTGAACCGCGACCCCATTAAGTTGGGAAAAGCGGTATTTATGTATGTATGGATGGATTTGGCTAAAACTTAGCCGAGTCGACTTAACTGGGGACGCTTCCTGCATGCGCACTCGCCCAGTCAGGTCAAGTCCTGAGGTCAGTTGGTCTCGATTGCACATGTTCCATGGGAGCGTCCGCAAGTCAAGTCAAGTCGACTTAGTGGGTTTCCGTAGAAGTTTAACGTCCTTTGGCAGAGGTGGCCGAGTTGAGTAGCTTGAACGCGTTGGACACGGAAGGGAATTTTCTGTTTTTCATTCCATGACGGAGGGGTCTCGTTATTCAGTATTATTCGTTTAGTGTACTTACTTATCTCCAGTAATGATATAATTTTTGCAAATAAAAATCGTTGACGATTCAAATTGACGGTAAAAGTTGTGCCGCTACCTGTGGTACACGACATCTCCCGTCTGCGTTCGTGTGACTTGGGACAGTCATGATACGAGATGGCACGTGATGGTCACAAGTCCTCACTGCCCCAAGACTGAAAACAATATGCCTATGTACCTCCCGTGGTTCCCAACGTCCCAAACGTGTTAAAGATACGTCGACTTTATATACTTCCCGCTCTTTATTGCATTTCCGTGGTGGTCGGTGCTTGAAATGAGATATTTTCTCGACTGGGATTAGTTCCTCTTTTTCTTTTATGGTGCCCCTTCCCAAAGGGGGTCGCTGAGCTTTGGCCCTCGGGAGAACCGAAGTCCGAGTCTTAGTCTGGGTCGACCCCAAGCAACCGTTCTTTTCAGTGCAAATTGATGTTCGCGTGAAACCTTAACATCCTTCAAGGTATGCAGAGATGCCCGTTCCCCTCCATTTTCATTTTGGCGGGATGGCTCAGGTAAAAAATTAGACCCGAATGCTGAAATCTCATTTAGGTGAGTTGAAGGGACCTTCAAGCTAAAGAGCTCTTTCTCCTCCAGAGGAGTCCATGGATTTAATGGACCGTTAACTAAAGGAGGTTTTGCATTCGGGTCTCAGTCTCGGCGGCATGGCTCGGGTCAAAAGGCACGATACATCCTGTCTCATTTTGAGCACTGATGAAAGTTTACCGTCGTCGTTAAGGCGACTTAACGCTTAGTCGACTTGACTCTAGGAATACCAACGGGGGGTTTCATTGCACTCATAATTTCTGTATTTCGGATATGCAAATGAAAATGACAGGATTTTGGCTGGGGTGGTGGCTAGAGGGAGTAAAATCGCGAAAATCAAGGAGGGTTATAGAAAGACTAGAATCGCAAATCTCAGAGGGGTTGCCCGGATGCCTTCCAGGACTCCAGTCATTCTTTCGATTGGAGCACTAGCTAATGCACCATTCCAACAAAAAAAAAACCTGAGCGGCGAAGTAGTGGGTGGGATGAACCCTTCTATCATTGTTCGATTATCCCGCCGAAACTCCTGCGAAAATCGTCATGCATTGCATAAAGAATCGACGGAGATAGAAGAGCTTTCCGACAAAAGTAGCCTTGAACGAGGAAAGAGCGAACTCGATCCACTCAAGAAGCTCATGGGAGCGAAGTTTTTCTTTTTCGGAATGGGATAATGAGCCTCACTATGGCAACCATCTCAGATATTAACTTTTGACAGATTTATTCAACCTCTTCTTTAAGCAGGGAAAAAATCTTTACCTTGATCCAAACTTCTTCCTTTAATCCTGTCCTTGATTTTACCCATTCATCCCTTTTAGTCTGGGAGTGCTAACAACAAGATGGAGCATCGTCCAATCTCCTTGGCTGGCATTTGTCACGTATGGGTTCATGTTTGGTCTGGGGATAGGAACAGCTTACATGGCTCCCCTCTCCTGTGGCATGCGGGTCAGTCCACATGAAAAAACTTGGGTGATCTCCAATCTCCATTGAAATCTTGCAGTGTGAATCCTTCTAATGCAGTGGTTCCCAGAAAACAAAGGACTTGTAAATGGGATTATCGTTGGTGGATTTGGTCTTGGAGCCTTCATCTTCAACTTCGCTCACACGGCCTACCTCAACCCAGAGAACAAGGTTGTCAGTAGCTCTGGGTAAGATTTTGCGGATAAGCTGTCCCATGTAGAAGTGTAGAACTTTCCCGACACATGAATCTTGTAACGTTTGGCTTGCAGTTACTTCACAGACGAGGACATCTTGAATCGGGTGCCAAGCTTATTTCTCATAATGGGTGGAACTTATGCAGTTATCCAAGTGATTGGGTGTTTGCTTCTGAAGAACCCCCCTCAACACTTCGAACAGGTCTCCGAAGCAACTTACAGTATATCGGGGCACTATATAAATAGCACGAAATGAAATGCGCATATTGATGTGATATAGGAAAGGGAAGGAATCAGAGTGAAGAATCATCAAAATTACGGAACAATTATGGAGCCAGGGAACAATGAAGTCGATGGTGTCATCGACCTTCTGTCTCTTTCGGGTAAGAAAGCAAAAATGAGAGAGATATTGTATGCCTCCGGTGAAGTTTTTACCCAGTGTTCGGTGTTTTCAGAGGAAGATTCAAGTCTGTCACCATCCCAAGTTTTGAGAACAAGAGAGCTGTGGATGCTATGGCTGACATTCTTCTTTAACCAGCAGGCTGTGGGATATATCTCCACCATGTACAAGCCATTTGGCCAAACATTCATCAGCAATGATCGTTACCTTTCCGTAGTCGGTGCCATAGCAGCTCTCTTCAACTCTTTCGGCAGAATATTCTGGGGTAAACTCATGGATGACACCTCTTACAAGGTAGGATACCATATTAATGGAGCACCATGCCGTTTGAATTTAAGATGGATTAGGACTGTGTGCAAATGTCTTCTTTCCAGCTTGCCATGACAATGGTAACCGGCCTGCTCATGGCAGAATTCTTCTCATTATTGGCAACTTCTTTGGGAGGTGAACTGATGTTTACCATCTGGATTTTTGCCATTTATGCCACCTTTTGTGGGACCTTTGTCCTCCTTCCAACTGTCACCTACCAAACCTTTGGTCCTACATATGCGAGCCTTAATTATGGGATTGTCTTCAGCAACACAGTGAGTTTGTCTTAGTACCGGTATTGTAGTCAGTATCATTTGTTTCTAGTTTCCCCTAACTAGGGTTGCTTACTGTTCCTCAAGTCAGACCTGGAGATATAATTTTGAGGTGAATAACGTAGTTGAGGGGGTTCCTGCTCTCGGCGGGGGGTTGGTGCATTTCCTCATCCCAGGGCAAGGCCGCCCAGAAGGGGGGGGGGGGGGGGAGCATTGGGACAATCTGCCCCGGGCCCTGCTATCCAAGGGGGGCCTCCAAAGGGCCTCCGGTTTTGTTTTGCCCCGGGCCCCTGTCCCAAGGTGCATCTATTATTATTAGCCTTCATTGAATACGATAGCCATCGCTCAATATAATTTCCTTTGAACTTGAATGAGTACGTTGGCTTCAGGAACAGACTGAGCTTGCTGCTTCACCGCTTTTTTCTTCCCTCTCCAAGTGAAACCGGAAGAGTTGGCAACCCTAATCGTAACAGGACCAACTTGTCTAGGATGATGCAGCTACAAGAAAGGGTGTGTATATAGGATAGAAGGGAGAGGGGAACTAGCAAAATAGCACAGCTGGTGCAGACTGAGACTGGGTTGGAGCAGCCTAGCACCCTATTACAAATCCTGGAGTCAGCCGGCATGCCTCTCAATCCTTGACAGTTATTCTAATAGTATGGCTTCTTAACCGCCATTGCTCAGCCCAATAGTTTTTGCCAAATAAAGTGAGTGAATGATGAAGGGTTAGCTTGTTCTTCCAATAGCATTGAACGGACATTGTGCAATGCAAGGAGATCTCAGCTCAGTGAAGTATGGAGAGCCTGGAATCTTAGATCCAGGCATAGGGAAAGATGTGGTGAACCTACACATCTGATGGTCCAATATGAATCTTGAAAGAGGGCATTTATAATCAAGTTGGAAACAATGTGCATCCAAATCCTATTGGTGGCAACAAGCATCAAAGTCAAAGCCCTGACAGCTGTGTGCCTTTCCCGAAACTACTAAGCCAACTAAGGCACAGCTCCAGACCAGATTCCTGCCAGAAATATCCAAAAAATTGAGTCACAGTGTGTGCAATTTGGGAGTTGAAGTTTTAGCAAGGTCTGATCTATAGGGACAGAAGGAGGCCACCTAAGGAAGGCATGCTGTCATCGACAGATGCAGAGGCAATGGAGTAAGAGAAGACACTATTATAGTGCCAGATCTATAGGGTAGAGGAAGGACACTCATAAGTGTGAATATAAAATAATAGCCATGGTGTTAAAAGTCCCCTTGAAGGAAAAATTACACAAAGTACTGGGAAAGGTGCACTATATTAGCAACATGAGGACTAACCACAAGCTCACTCTTAAGGGATGGGTATTGGCTGAAATTGAGCATGGGAGAGAGGATGGTTGCAGCTGTCTGGTAGCCTACTCCTAACTGGGCTAATGCACCAACATCACCCAGGGGGATCTCATCATGCGATCCATCCCATTCACAGAGAAAACGCACCACATGTGGAGGCAGCTAGACCCTCTCTCCTGATTGCCAAAGGAAGTAGATAGCAACCCCTCCTACATTTCTGAGGGAAGATATTCCCATAAAAATGGTCTTTGTTCTCTTCCCACTGCAGGTATTTAGTGCACCGTTGACCTCCATTCTGACACAGTATCTCTCTGAAGATTTTGGTTGGTTCGGGATCTTCTGCTTGCTTGCAGGATTTGCCTTCCTCAGTAAGTCTGCTTAATCTTGACCAGGAACACTGCCACGAGTGCAGGTTCCTAACATGTTGTTCACCTGACAAAAGTGTCATATTCCTGCACATTTTAAAATATATTTTAATTCAAATATACATGGTGCCTATGCTTTGGATTAAGACTAGTGTAACTCTGAAGCCATGGGAGGTAGAGACATGAAATTCACAATAGAGGCACAATGCATGATGTTGAGCATGATGGGATGAAAAAATCCAGAACAAAATGGCAGTTAAACAGAGGGAACCTCTGCATTGACAGTCCAATATGGCATCCATGCAAGGAATGATGTTGGATATCATGGTGCACAACAACTCCAGAGAAATTGTGGGCATATCCTGCCAAATTGCAGCCTTGAGATCTGGAAGCATCAATGAACTATAACAGTACACATGCATCTTTAACTAGTCCCATAACCAATAATCTCATGAAAAGAAATTGGATATCAGTGTGTTGCAAAAAAGCATGAAGTGCATACAGCTTCTTAAGAAATGCTGTATGCTACCATTTCCAAGATCACTCCTCACTTAGATGCCATAATACATCAGCACAATGGCTATATTGAACATTCTAAGTAGTGGCAACATCTATGAACAGTACGGTCACCCTGCACCATGGAACTCATAAGATATTCCATGCACCAGATTTGTTTAACTTGAATTTATTCAATAAATAATAGGCTTCCATGGGAATCCATTAAAACAAAGTTTGTTATTCCAAGGAGCTCACTGTGAAAATAAATATATTCCATTTGAATCTATTTGATGCATGTTGTTAGAAGTTGCTAATTATGATGTTGCTTTGTCATGCTTTAGGCGTTCTGCTGACCTACTTTTACCCGGACAATCCTTCACCACAGCTGATAAGAGGAAGAATGTCAGAGACATGAAGTCACTGGAAGGATTGCTGTGATTAACTGCTCTCAGTTACTTCCTCCAAAGTGAAGCTTAATGTGATACCTTGCCAAGGGTCATTCTTCATCCAAGGAACAACAAAATTCATCAAAATGAGAACAATAAAGACTCATGTCACCCGGGTATTGGTTTGAAATTGACCATCTTAGTTTCCAAGGTTTCTTCAGGGTCATCTCCCTCAACACCACCATGAAGTCTTTTGACATCTTCTTCAGCTTTGCTTGGAGGTTCAGGTTCATCCTTAGGCAGTTCAATGGGCACAACACTACCCAGAGGAGAATGGAAACTGAACACAACAGGGATGTCACCTAGTCGGGGATTTGTCTGCTGTAGAAATCGAATCCAGGAAAGAAGGGAGTCTTTGCTTGAAGTGCCTGTTGCACAAGCAGCAAGAATCACTCCATCTTCCTGCTCATGAACAGATGATTGCACTGGTGGTAGGAGCTTCTCTTTGGGTACCTCCCGGAAGGGGTTCTTCCACTGGAATATGTGCTGCAGCATCCCAACCTCTGAATAGACAAAGAGAACAATACCTTTTTCTGCATCCTTTTGGTAATTTCTTTCATTCTTTTTTTCACTCTATATAGTCACCATTAAACTTTGATAGCATTTAAGTTAGGCCAATATGCAATGCAGAATGAAATCAAAATTCTTCTCATGTTTGAATATCCTTCATGGTTGCACTTAGCATACTTCTCAACTCTTCTCAGTATTTGGTCTGTAGCAACTTTAAAACTACTTTAAAATGAACTAGGCAATCCCAAGACCCAACTCCTACCTTGTTCCTAGTATACAGTGGTATATCTAGGGGTAGAGTGCCACTAGGAGACTACAATCCTCTCACAACCTTGATTTTTCTAACAGAATTTTACCAATTTTGTTTGTAAGGGTAGTGGTAAGTACATTACACTATTCATTGTTTTAAAATTAAAATGTAAGAATATTCAGCTAAACACAGTGCTTCCCTTTTATTTTACAATCACACATCACTAAAATAAACTGATATCAGTTAGGGCCCTCTGAAAATGAATCCTAGATCCACTCCCACCAGGAGATACAGTTCTATGAAGGATGGACCCATTAGGCAGCAAAGAAAAGGGATTCCACATATTTACAGACGGTTCCATGAGGCCATGTTCACACCATAGGAGACAGGCACAATTTGGACTTTATATTGCAAGAGTTGTGTCTTCATGCCTGAACGAGTGCTGTTAGCACCAAAAACCATTCATCATAGCCATGATTATACCAGTGGCATAAACATTTCTGAAGTAGACATGTCAGTTGGGAAGATGTCTAGCACCCAGGCCAGAACAATGCTTCATCACATTACAAAAGCAAACATTGCAAAGATTGATGAGTTCATCCAGAGAACTTGAAATGTTTCAGTGTCAATTGGCTGCAGACTAGGGGATTAGTCAAGGCTCCAAAAACAAACAACTGGAACTCTTCAGTAAAAGACTAGTGATATATGATACTAGTGACTATGTGATAGTTCCTCAAAAAGTGTGAGGGCAGGCACTATGTTGACCATCAATAAACTTGATTGGGTAGTACTTGATTATTCACCATATAATTGACCTTTTATCAAGTGATTTTCATGTTTTCAACCATCTGAAAAGTGTGCTATTTTGGCAGCATTTGTGTACAGACAATGAAGTGCATCTAATAGTTACAATATAGTACAAACAGCAATTGCAGGAATTTAATTAGGTGGATATTAAATAGATTATAAACCATTGGGATCTGAATCATAACAAAAGAGATTACTTTAAGAAATAAAACATGAACTGCAAGAAAATTTTCACTTTTTCATTTGAACAACCCTTGTACTCAGTAGCAGGGAAATAGACTCCCATAGTTCAACTTCCTTTTCAGGATGGAAAATTGGAAATCTTATACAAAGATTACACTGGAGGAAGTGATACAGTACACTAGAAAGCAGAAATCAAAGTGGCTCAAAGTGTTTTCTGCTACGGTGTATAATAGTGTGTTATGCTGTATAGAAATGTGTTTTAGCCAATTATCAGACCTTCCAGATGTGCCAAGCTGTAGAACATTAATGAATAAGTAAAAGGCCTAGTTTTACTTTATCCCTTTTGGTAAAATTCCAACCAAGAAATACTAAACCAGGGAATTTTTTTAGGATTCAGGAACTTTCTTACATATACTCTAGTATTTCTTTTTCTTAGTGAAGCACTGTGACCATCCATGCTCCTGACATGATAGTTATGATGCTCAGTAAAGCCATAAAACATTTGCTCTAAAATTGAAGCACTATAGTTATTATCTGAATAAAATCCATATTATTTCCTTTTACAACCAGAAAGGAAGAACTGTTCGACTCCACAGTTCAGAGAGCAGGAATTGAAAGGAACAGAATAGACAGGAATATGAAAAGCACAAGAGGAAAGGATGGAGAAGACAAGTGAATATGCCTTTTGGGCTAGGAGCCTTTCACCAGATAGATCACAATGGTGGGAAGATGGCTGGTTCTGTCCTACCTGGTTTTGTTATATATCTTTCATCCTTTGTTCAATCCATGCTTTTCAAATTTCATCTCATTTTTGTTCTAGTCTTTCTCTGCCTCTCTGACTCAAAATGAATATGGCAATCCTATACTGCTTTAAATTCTTGTACCAGTTCTATTTTCTTTAAATAACTTTTACTCTTTCTTAAGCAATGAAAATTCATGGAATTCAATTACACACCCTGTTGACACTAGTAATCCATACCGAGATGGAGCAAGCAGTCTCCTCTATTCAAGACAGTTAGGGCCATCTGACTGGCACACCAGAGAGCTGGCTCTACCATTAACATGTTAAGCAATGCATCTAACATGAATTTCCCCGAGAAATTTACCATCATCTGCATCTTCATCCACCTGTGGCTTAGGCTCAGGTTCTGCCCTCAGAATGAAGTAAGCCAGACAGGCTTTCCTGAGATATATCCTGAAAGCTCCTTCCACATATATTGGCTTGTCTGTTGAGTGCTTGGCAATCAGTTTCCTCTGGGTTTGACTCTGAGCACTTACAATCCACGTCCCATCAATTGAGTCCTCAAGCTCACCAGCCTATGAAAAAATAATATTAAAATAAATCAAATATGGGGATAGCTTTGAAGATGAAACAGATGAAAAAAAGGGCATTTTAGCCAAACACACACACATCAAACACTTCAACTTCTGTCTGAAGGTCAACACTTCCAATACGCTGCATGGCAAGTTTTGCTAGTTCCAAGCTGTCAGTGGGGACTGGATTTGGAAGGAGCCAGGGGCTTAGATTTTTAAATTTGGGCATCCAGTACATCATCCGCATGTATTTTCTCTGAGGATGACTCAGGCTCTTCCCAAAAATTTCCTTCAAGGTCTGACCCATTTCATCATCAGGCATCACTCCTACAGACAGAAGTGGTAAGAAAGAATTAAACTGCTGCTTCTCCTCTTTTGGGTGATCTGAGGCTGAAATAGTAGCCTAGCCTACCATGGTCCTCCATCTGCTCCAGAAGATCAATAATGCATTGCTGCTGTTTTGGGAAGTGCATGAACTCAAACTGGAACACATTCTGGGGTATAAACTTTCCCTTTGGAAGGATATCCACCAACTTCTTGTAGATCTCAAGATCTCTCTCCACACCGAATTCCTTCATGTATTTGAGAGCAGCATAAATGAACTCAACATGGCCCCTTCGATGCTTCTCAGCTTCCTCATATCCACCAATGGCATCCAAGAATGCTTCTTTTGTTTTCTCTTCAAATCGGTTGAAATATTCTCTTGTGGAAAGTCTTGTCTCATCGCGGTCATCTTCGTAACGTCCCTCTTCGTCTCCAACTTTACCCATGTGTTTTTGTGGAAGCTTGTTCTGGCAGAAAACTGAGGAGGTTGACACATTTCTACTAAGCAAGTTCACCTTGATTACACTGTGCCACCGTTTCCTGTGAGTATGTCGTAACAGGATATTACAGAAATGTGTGATGATTTTCATCCTGGAATAGGGAAAGAAAATAGTCATGTCATGTAGGGTAAGAATTAGAAAGCCGGCTTGCCCAGCATGGGCCCAACAAACGAGAGCGTGAAGCAAAGGTAGAGCCAAGGATGACCGTTCCCAGGTTTCACGAAAGCCTAGGCCTAATTTTGCGCTGGTACTGACATAGACTACTATTGTAATACACAAAGTGTAAGGGAAACATGCGATTGACCTCTGCAAAGTGGAAAGCACGTTTCCTTATGGTGGCCACCATTAAGCGACAGGTCATTGGCTGTGATCCCAGAGCCGTCTGCGATTGGTTTTTTCTGGCAAATGTCGTCTGCTACGACCATGTCAGCCTCCAGTGCTCCTGAGTGTGGTGGTGTAACAGAGGGAACAAGTGTCATCTTGGGAACCGTTTCCTTGCTACACATAAAAGACACGGTTCTCAGAGATAAGGTGGATCGATGTTCGGCGGATGGTTACGTGTCGCACGATATCGACTCATCATCGCCTTGATTGAGAACCTCCGGCTTGAAGAGTGAACTGAAATACCGGTCTCAGGTATCTCATCGATGGGTGTAGCGCATGCTCCATTGACCTTCTCATTCGCGCCTCCGAAACGGCCTTGTTAGCAGAGGGTTGAGGTGAAGAGGGCTGGGAGAAGATGTAAGGGAAACTTTTCGCCGAAAGAACATGAAAAAACGTTGTAGGTATATCTTATTGGAATGTAACCCTACGTACAACTTTTCTCTTCCAAAATTCACGTTCAAGGTCACGCATAACCTCCAAATCGGTACTCTTCCTACTTTCGCCAATATCTCTGAGTTCACCAAGTTTCATACGTAACGGTAGGTCTTTCTCCGTACTCATAAATGTGACAGTACGTGGTTGGGAAATTGCTTCTTGGTTTTCTTCTTGTGACTCTTCCTACAGTTCACAATGGGGCAAAAAACTACTGGACCAATTTCAGTGAATGAAGCACAAGTGGCCTTCCCACAGTGCAAGGATGTAGATGTTGTGGGTATCAAGTAGCCATATAATGCTGAAAGTACAGAGGCGTAATGTTAAAAAGAGACCGATTGCCGGAGAGTGAAATTCTCAGATTAGAATTGGACAAATCACGTTGATTCACTAACTGAATTGAAGGCTTGCTCCAAGAAGGCTATGCGCCTTCTTGAGGTCTCAAACAATAGTTTCGAAGTGCCAGGAAATACTTAATATCTGGGAGACGTGGACCGGCCTGGGGCAACAACTATTGGGCTGATTTCGACGAATGGAAATAACTGTGAACTAACCTTGTGGCTGAAGGATAAAAATGACTTTGGAACACCCTGTATATGGCAAGGAAAATCGGTAACAACTGGACAGGAGGAGCGAAATGGAGTCATGCAATGCTTTTTCCCACCTTCCATCTTTCCCTCTCTCGTTTTCTCGGGGTTCTAACAGCCTTCTGCTCTTTCATTATGACTGCACACAGTGCTGCTGTTGTCAAATCGGGTGCGATCTTGTGTTGTAAAGATACGCACGATTAAAGCATCATGGAAGGGGGGGAGGGAGGCTTAGTTTGGACATCAAAGCGGAGGTACAAATATGCGCTGCGATTAGCAATTTCGCCTTTGTTCCTAGTAGGGAATCAACACTAGTGAGTTCATCGTTTTCATAGAACTTCCTTTCGTCTTTTCGCCTAACAGAAGAGGGCGCATTCCGTGTCTGCGTTCTATTGCTTCGGTTGAAGGAAGCATTGGCTAAATAATTTAAAGCGGGAAGGCGCCTGAGAACTTCTCGTCCATCCTGAGATGACGTTGACAGGTTATTGAGTGCAAGGAGTCTGAATCTCAAATGGTGATATGAACTCATCATGATAATGATACATGGGAGACCTTCATCAGGAACGCCAAATGGCTGCTGGTCGCTGTCTCTCTTCCAGCATGAAAATCACTTCATTATCTCATGAGAACTTATTCAGGCATGACAACCATGCTTTCGGAAATCTGCCATGTTCGTAAAGAGAGGGCGAGATCTTTTTGATTATTTTATCATAGAAAATGACTGTGTCACAATATTTGTCATCTATTTTTCCCTTCCTACAAGGCCAGGAAGGAGAACTCGTGTGTACTTGAGGGGATTTCATCCTGTCATTCTTTTCGAAAGATGATTCCACAAAATGTCTTTCCGTTCCGAGATAGGATTCCTGTTTTGGGGAACTGGTTTCCCATGCAGTCGAGGATAAGGAGAGAGAGCAGTGACATCATTCCTCATCCCGACCATGTTCTCCCTCGTTCGCCGAAGAGTGGATCTCCTCTGTAACAGCTGTACAAAGTGTCTGATCTCGTGCCCGCGGACATGCAGTGGAGATACGAGCAAGAATAATCGTGATGGTAAAAACCTTCCGAAGCCATCCACTGCGGGGAAGTATCTGCGGGAAGTCCTTCATATGGTCATAAATAAACGACTCGTGACCGGGATGATTCCTCCAGACCACGTTCTCCGATTCCGCCATCCTCAACAGTTGGAGGTTACCTCTCCGTTCTCTCTTTAATGTCTTTTTCCTTTCTTTATGATGCATATAGTTGCCATCGGTAACGGTCTTGGAGCATACTTATTCGAGGGTCACTCAGAAAGTTCGCTAACGTAGGAAGTACTGACGTCAGAGTATGCAAGTAATGCTCGTACCTTCTCGCAGTATGCCTGTGTGCGACTGTAATTTTTTCGTGCTTGCGAATCGTTGTTGGGAAGAGTCCTGTTGTTTCGAGCGGGAGTTCTCGTGCGCAGTCGACCGGTGTGCCTTCGTCACGGGACTCAAACTTCAGACCCATCAAGTGTTCCTCGAGTCTTTGATTTTACAAAGCAACAAATCTGCAGGGGCAAGACAATACTTATAGGCGAAATAGGAGAAATGCTTCACTAACTTGAATTCAGCCTCGGCTGGTGACACCTGAGAGCGTGTGCATGATTCATCCTCCCTTTCCATGTAATCTGAAGCTATACTCCAACATCTTGGTTTACCTGTGTCTGCGAACTTTCGAAGTGATCTTCATATAGCGCGTCGCTCACGAGGTCTTCGGATCCATTCTTCGTTGCGTCATCTTTTTTAATTGTATCGTTCAGTAGCGACGACAGTCTATCTGTGGAAGCATGGAAACGGTCGGAAGGTCGTAGTGAAGGGTTGAACTCACCCTCTCTTGTCGTACCTCCAGTTGGGACTTTTCGTTCAGTTTTTCTTTATCATAATATACTTGAAGCAGATTGTCATTAATTGCAGGAGACTAGTTCACTTGTAATTATTTCCTTCAAGTTTCTGCTAGAAGAATGGACGGTATTCCTATTTCCTCTTGAAGAGCTTGTTGGAACGCCGTTCTTAAGCCGAAAAAATTATGGGAGTTACGTTCCACCTCGTTCCCACTTACTTTCGTCTCGGAATGCTGCGATTAAATTTAGAATACATATCTCGAACATGAAATTTTGCAAAGTTTTTCTGCCTCGTGATGTAAATGTCGGGGATGATTCCAGAGGCGTTTTCGCAAGGGAAATCCTCTTTTATCCCCTTCCAGATGAATGGTGCACAGGTGCATCGCGGATACCCTCGATTTCACGTATCTCTTATTTATTTATTCGTCCAGATCCGTTGATACCTCGGTCTCCAAATATTTCTTTCTGCACTTTTAAATTCAGAATGTCCGTAAGACGAGGATGGAAAGAAGAGAGGTTTTAATATCATCGTTGGTGGCTTTTTTTTTTCTCGACGTATAGGAAGAACTGGACCTGAGCATCGGGGAGTCAGGAATTTCCAAGGCAGAGGTGGTGAAGACGATGAAACATGTCATCGATTACAGCGTGAAGACGTGCTCGCCGTTCATGAGAAATCAGTTGTACGGAGGCGCAGACGAGATCGGCCTCGCCGCCTCCTGGCTCACCGACGCCCTCAACACCAACCAGTAATTCCCATTTTCCTCTTCGGGGATTTTCTCGTTTCACCTCTCACTCGGAGCTCCGTTCCTCTGAAATTCCGTCGCGACCGACGAGGAAAAGCTAACCGAAACGTTGAAAGGCCGCCATCGCATGGGCGAATATAGGCGAGGAGACGATCACCGAGGCTCATCACCGAGGAGACGATCGTGAATATACTCTGAATATTTTATTTCCCCTTTGCTATTTAAATGAAGTGATAAAAACTCAATGATTTCTAGTCATTTTTTACATGCTAGAAGTATATGAGAAGAAAAGATATGGGAATTAAAAATTGATGGTGAAGAAGAAACTGGATGCTTTCATGGACAGGCAAAAAGGTGAGGGGCAATGTTGACGTTAGGTACTAGACAGTAAGCAACTAGGATAGTCAAAAACAAACAAACAAAACAAAACAAAATACATAAATATTTAGCTTTAAGGCCTACCCTAAAATTAAGGAACGCTCGACCTCGACACGTAATATCGAAATGGGTGAAATCGCCTCTTGATATCACTAACTATCTTGAATCTAGGCCCATTGCATCGCCTGCAGATGGTTCTGCTCGTCTGGCAACTTCCTTCATTCTGTCATTACGTCACGAGATTCCATATTTTCCTTCATTTTTCCGGCGAAAATTGACTTTCAAATCACACCCGAACAGTGATGAGGAAATCACAGGTCTAATCCCAGAGCTCATCTCGTATCTTTTTCAGAAAAAAATTTGGAAGAGAAAGGCGAATTCCTAGTATTTCCACTCCGGGATATCATACGAGGTGTGGCTATTAAGTTTCCAGACTTTATTTTTGTATTTTTTACTTTTAAACTTACAAATTAATCACATTTATCGCCTTCAAAGTACTCCCCTCCAGAACGTATACACTAACTGAAACTTGCCCAGCTATAAGCTAAGACTCCCCTCCATGTTACTGCCATAGCCCCACTCCCCTCCTCTCTCTCAAAGTTCAGCAATAAAACCAGTCTGGAAACATAATAGCCACACCTCGTATGCAAACCGAGTTCCAGGCTTCCTAACTCCAAATTCGAACCAAACCTATGATACAATTTTCAGGACTTTTGAAACGAAGACTATAGGCCATATATTCATTAAATAGATCCAAAATTTTTAATGGCATACGATTCGAAGACATTTGGAAATATTTCCAACATTTGGACTGAATCGTTTTAATCCTAGAATGGAATCCAAAGAAATAGTTCATCAAACGAAATATTTCAGTCCAATCCCAAATCAACCCAAATTGAAATAATTAATTAATGATTTGCTCATCACTGCTTTCACAGGAGACCCTAGATCAGGGGTGTGGAACCTATGGCTCATGAGTCAAATTTGTCTCGCGAGCCGAAAAGTTTGGCTCATTGAGGCATGGCTGAAAATCATGGTTGTTCCTCATTTTTCTCATCAACGAATGCATATGTCTGTTGCCAACTTGAGGGAAAATTCTGCTGTTCTGAAAATATTTCGCTCAGAAGCACTTGGCTCAATCTTAATATGGCACATGACCAGAAAGGTTCCCGACCCCTGCCAATATGGAACCTCTACTCTCTTTTTCAAAGGGAGATGGAGTTCATACCGTGAAATTCAAGATTCAAGTTTCTCGCCATTCGTTGCTGAGAATCCTCTCATTGGACTTTACATACTTTACATAACATTTATTATGTGAATTGGCTCCATAACTTTGCAGGTTTACGGAGCCATAGCACCAAGCAACCGATGATGCAACACTTCTATGTTTAAATGGTTTGTCGGTGGAAGATTCACATTTTGCATCCTCGAAGGCGTCCCTTAACTACAAATGCATGGAATCTCTTCAGGAGGAACGGATGATAAAAGAGCCTTGAAGATGATAAATGCGCATCTTTCAACGACAATTTTTATTTATTTGGGAACGTGTACTAGAATATCGGAACGAAAGAACGCAATGATGAATAAAAGGGATGGATGGATTTATGATTGTAGGCACACGTACGAGGTAGCGCCTCTGTTCATCCTTTACGAACGGGCGGTGGTGAAGAAGGTGTTGACCCTCCTCGGATGGGACGCGGGAGATGGCATCACTGCACCCGGTACGTGCTCGTCTTCCCCGTCCCCGAGTCCGATCCCAGACGCTAAACGAGAAATTCTCATCGACCTAAAGGAGGAGCCATGGCGAACATGTATGCCTTGCCGTTGGCCCGCTACAAGTTCTTTCCGGACGTGAAGGAAAAAGGGATGGCTCACCTCAAATCGTTGACCATCTTCACCTCACAAGACGTACGTATTTTTATTCTCGAGGGTATCTGTATCGGTGAGACGAATATCCATACCATTTCATTAGCATGTAAGAGATCACACATGGGCTCCGATTGCCACTTGCACGAGTGATAAATGATAATTAATGATAATTCCTATTCCTAGGCCTTGGTGATAGATCACGATAAATTGTGCCGAAAATGCAAATAAATACTAGGTTCATTCCTGGAGAGGCCAGATAATTCTGTTCTATTTTTATCTCACGCAGCAGGAAGGAACTAGCCGATCCGATTATGTTAGTCGTAAAGTAATTGATTATTGCGAGTGCGGACTCTTCAAAAGTTTTCAGTCTTCGGCAGGATCGGAGAGGAATTTTCTCTTCTCCTTCTTGCGATCACTGTTTTCTCTGAAGTAGTCGTCTCGGCGAGGGACGAGTCTTTCCGCGAGTCTTTAGTCCCATCAGTCCTGGACCAAACTGTATTAACTAACAGCTTGGTTGTTAAGATCCGGAGGGCTAATCGTGAAAAGTTGGGGTTGAAAAGTTGAAATTTTCTTAGCGCAGAGTGACACCCTTGAAATTCTTAATTTTTTCACCTACTGATATGGTATATACTCGTATCATTCATCAAATGTAAGTTATTTGTGTAAGCTTAATTGTTTTAATGGAAATTGTATGCTCGGTGTGAATAGAGCCACTACTTCGTGTGGAAAGCGGCCCACTGGTTGGGTCTAGGGACTGAGAACATAGTGGAAGTGAAAACGGACAAGGGGGGACGAATGATCCCTTCGGTTCTGGAGGAGGAGATCCGCGAAGCCAAACGGAAAGGGAAAAGGCCATTTTTGGTGAATGCCACTTCTGGTACCACCGTACTCGGTGCCATGGATCCTTTGGAACCCATTTCCGAGATCTGCCAGAGCCACGATCTCTGGCTTCACGTCGACGTGAGTGCTTCTCTCTCCTTCGATACTTTGGTCTCTTTAACGCTCTTCTCCATCGAGAACTCCGAACGTCCCTAGCAGTTTCTACTTTTAGAATCCTTCCGCAAAAGGAGTTAAATCCGATTCAGCTATCAATCCACATGTTTTATTTCAATATTCTCAAATACAGATTTTTATTACTGCTGAAGATGAGCACTATTTGTTTCCCTTTCCTCAGGGAGCCTGGGGTGGAAGTTTATTGATGTCGGAAAAGAGAAGGCATCTTTTAAAGGGCGTGGAAGCGGCAGATAGCTTCACTTGGAATCCCTACAAAATGCTCGGAGTCCCCATTCAGTGTTCGTTTTTCCTCACGCGACACCAGGTAGGCCTTTGGATCACCAACAGGTTTGGAATCCATCAAAGCGACTGCATGTGGATGTCGTAAGCACTTGCCTTTCTATAAAATCGCGATAGGGGCTGCTGTTGGAGTGCAATGCCGCGTCGGCGACGTACCTCTTCCAAAAGGACAAGTTCTACGACGTGTCCTACGACACGGGTGACAAGAGCATCCAGTGTGGGAGGAAGGTAGATGCCTTCAAATTCTGGCTCATGTGGAAGGCTCACGGAGATAGAGGATTCCAGAATCTCGTAGAAAACATCTTTCACTGCGCTCGGTCCGTTCTCACCGTTTTCTCAGCCTCTTCACCTTTCTCTTCCCCTTCTCTTTTCCCCAATATCTATTGGGTTTATATGTAAGAGAGAGAGAGAAGAGCAACATATATCATAGACCAGGGTACTATGCACAGCAGGTGGGCAGTGAGCTACAAATTGCTCACCTGAAGTTCAGCTATCAACAATGGGACAAAAGTGCATTTCCCTGGCCAAATTGTAAACATTGAGTTATCTTGAACGATTCTCATACACTACCCACTAGTCACTTAATAATTAAGCTTCAGAAAACTACAATTACTTTTCAAATAACTCTCACTCTATTTTCGAGATGGAGCTGGGAAAACATAACGAAACGCTGAGGAACCGTCCATGCCCTGATTTGCTCAGGTTAAAATAAAACCACCTTGTTGGAAGAGAAAACCCGTGATACATCTATATGGATTTCATGGAACTTTCTGAGTAAGTACGTTCACATTACATGATATCACACTCTAATTTCAAATAATATGGGCGTGGTGCCTATATTTCTGAGCTCCATTCTTCACTTCTTGATATTCTTTGTGTGCCAAAAAAAAAGGTAATCGAGTGCGATTTTGGCATTTCTGAATCTAACGTTTGTATTTTAGCAGCTATATGAAAACTAGCTGCTACTAGTTACTACTTTGACAATAGGAGCCATACATCATCGGGTGTATACAGCGTTTCCTATTGAGTCCGACCTTTTTTTTTTTTTTTTTACCTGACTCCAATGCTTATGATTTGAAGGTACGCATGTATGGCTGTCCAAGGCAAGTGAAAAATGTCGGGATCAAGTAGATGTACATTGTAGCTCCGGTTGGGGATTCTCTAGAAGTAATGAGCACACAAATGCTCTCCCCTAATTAATGCTGATTACTTCCAAGAATCCTCCTGAGCATCCACGCGTGCTAATAAATTCGTTCCGAAGGATCCCGTGTCTCTCACTTCTTATCACATCACCTCGTGAAGTAGGCGAAGGTGGGGCAAAACGGGGCAGTTAAGGAAAACTGCCAAAATGCAGTACCTAGGAGCTGGCCTAGCACGTTTCGGATTGGTGTGCAGTACCTTTCATGTCTTACCTATGACTAGGATTCAACTTCATCGCGAAATCAGCGACTGCTTTTTCCCCCAAACAATTCTAAAAATTATTGTCAAATACCCCATTTAGCCCCACCCATGGGGCAAAATGGGGTGCCCCTGTGAGGCAAAACGGGGAACTCCCCAAAATATTGTTTTTCAGTCTTTATTCATAATATATACCTAATTAAATAAGTCCTAGAACCGAAAGAGTAATGAAACTTCTACGGCAAAAAAATTGTTGCTATAAAATTTTTTAAATCCATGTTTTCATCAGAAGTACCTATTTACATCTGTCGGAGACAAACACGTCCTCATCCGTGTCGTCATCGATGCCTGGCGATCGACATTTTGTTGCCCAGTTCTCTTTGCCATCAGCAATTAGTCATAATTAGTTATATCCAACTGAGAAGAGATATGAAGAGCCGCTATACCGCCCCATTTCGCCCCCTCAGCGTGACCTCGTTTTGCCTCATCAGCACTGTTTATGATTAACCCTTTCAGACCTGAATTAAGGCCGCTATCGGAATAATAATCTTTTTTGCATTTTTGAGCTCTTTCGCGATTGTAATTGAAATTTTAATGCTTTATATGTGGTCTTTATATATGTATTTTTTATTGATAAATTTACCATATCATACCATGCATTATACATTATACATTTAATTAAATAACTGAAGATTACAACACTAATGGGTGAAAGAAGGCCTTTGATGGAACTGAACCATGCATAATTGCGCCCATTGTAGCGTAATATGGAGCGCAAGGACACGAGAATCCTAAGAACTTGCCATAGACACAATGTAAATGCAATGTCCATTGGAATGGACGCCAGGTCTGAAAGGGTTAAGACACTGACTAATAAAAGTAAGTGAGCAAAAATTTATGATTTTATGCAATAATTTAACTTTAAACAAAAATATATCGGACGCCTCCATTGTTCTTGTTACTTTGTTTCGTTCATCAAAAACTCGAAATAAAATAAGAAAAGTGGCTGTTTTCTTATTTTGCTGCTAGTGTGCCTACAAACTACAGGGTGCCCATAAAGTGATTTCCTGTGGCCAACTTTTTATATACTGAATCTGGAGGAATCAACTTTTAAATTTTTGTAGACTGTTTATCATTAGACCTCGGAATGGTGTCACAACTTCTTTTTCCTACACTCTAGTGTGACTGAGAATTCATTTACCAAACCCTTATTTCAAAAACAGGTTCAGACATATGGGGTGTAGCATTCTGAATTATCAGCCAGGGCAAATGTCCTCCAAGATCTCCGGATTTTGACTCCTTGTGACTTTTCTTCCTCTTGGGCTATTTAAAAGGCATTGTTTACAAGGACACACCCACAGATTTTGAACAACTTGGAAGAGAACATTTATCATGTCATGTACCAGAAAAGTAACTGAATTCTCATGGATGTTGCCGACAATCCAATTGCCAGGACTTAGAAATGTCTAGAAATCGACGGTGGACACATTGAGCTAATTTGTTTGGTAAGTTCTTAATTTTTATGATTTTGAATTTCCAAAACTCTCAATTACTCAAACAATACCGTGATAACTGCAAGAAGTTGTTGCAATGAGGTCGAAGGGGAAAAGTTTTGAAGGGCAAAGTTTTCCTCGATTTTGGTCTGAATTTCTTTCCATTCAAATGAATGAAAAAATCGTAAAACACCAAACGTGGGAAATTAATTCTTGGCCGTGTCAAAATGAAAAGAGAAAAGATCTGACACTATTCCGAGGTCGGTACGTTGCCAGTCTAAAAAAGTTTACAAAAATAGCTACTTCAGAGTCTATAATAAAAAAAAGTCGCCCATAGTAGTCACTTTATGGACACCCTGTACTTTACAGCGCGCAGCCAGGCTTGAAAACGTGCACCCCTGGTGAGGGGTTATAATATAGTAAATATCCGATAGATATTGGTTATGGTTTGGTTAAAATCTGAGTTGCCCCGTTTCGCCCCTTGCCCCATTTTGCACCACCTATTATGCTACCTATTACCACCTATTACATTATGCGACTACTGAATCTTCAAGAGAACAGGGAAGAGGAAGCTCAGAAAGTTCTTGAAAATCCTATGAAGATGATCAATAAAGAATGTATTTATCTGACAATATGATTGAAAGAAAATAGAATCAGCATTCATATTAACAAAACATGTTCAAGTACGTATATTTTGTGATGCAAAACCTTAAGAAATTTATTATTTGGACAAATTTATAGTAAAAAAAAGACCCTGTAGGAATCTGCTCTGCAATATGAACCTTCGGATTTGCATGCATAGATTGCATGGATTAAATTGCATGCATGGTCTAGAATTTCTGTTTTGGCGAGTTACCGTCAGAAGGTTCAAAACATTAAGTTGCTCCACTGTTCATAGAAGTGTTCCTTAAGACACCAATAGTATACTTTTCAATCACAATGTATGGGATATAAAACCTTCTAAACATAGAATGGTTTCTATGGTGCTTTTGAGCAATTAAACTTGAATTCTGAAATAAAATGCTAAAGTTTTTAATTTTGGCCAGGAAAGCGCAACTCTGTCTGGCTGTACTATGGTATAGTGAAAACTGAGCACCGGGTCCAGGTAAATGCATAACGTCACGCCACATTCACTTGATATGTTTGCAATAACTATTCGCCTACAGCGCGATGTGATTCCACCTTTCCTTTCAATTTCCACCTTCTCACTTGTCTCAAATGTCCACGTTTGATCCGTAACTGCGCAGTACTTTTGAAATGGTCCGATTCGTCTCGGTCGAGCAATGGATGGGCATACACACCGTTACCTGAGACCTTCATTCCCCCCCCCCCCCCCCCCCCCCNTCCCCTTCCGTCAGAACCCGTTCCTCTCCCCCCCCCCCCCCCCCCCCCCCCCCCCAATGCTACACATTAATTACAATAATGTTTTCATGAAGAATCACCCCAACAATAGCCAAGGTGTCCAAGTACCCCTTCCTCCCCCCCTCCCCCCATACCCCCTCCTGAGAAACAGATGGATGAACATACAGTATATGCTCTACCTATCGATAGGAAGGGAAAAAACGGGGAGGGGGGAATGAAAAGAGAATGGACCCCTGTTGAGACAGGAAGGAGGGTAGCACTAACCGCCCTCAATTGCCTTCCAGGATGCCCCTGCTTCCCTCTTTCCCCCCTACCCCCTACCCTGGCTACTCATAAGAGCTACATTCCTTGCCTGGACTCCGTGCCCTGACGTTGAGACGGGCTGGGACGTACCCATGGGGCACCCAAGTTCCTCGTGTTTCAGCTGCTGTTATCATCTGTAATCTGTTATCAGGTTGCAGATACAGGATTTCCATAAAACTACTGTACTCCGTTCAAAAAATTGCCTCCCCCTCTGCACTTGAGATAAATAAGTTAAACATAACGAAGCTTTTCTTTAAACATGATTTTCAAACCTCAATAATTCAATTAGTCAGGGTGTAGAATACAAAGAAAATCTTAATAACATGAAAACAATTAGTTTTACCATCTCTTTCAGATAGTATTACTGTAGAGTGTTGAAAGTGCGAATCAAAGTGGTGCAGTGTATGGTGCCTCTCAAGGTCCAGTTTTACAGCGAGAAATAAGTCGGTATTTCAAGAAGGCGCGTCCAAGTCACGCAGTAATTTACGCTCTGGAAAAGGAATTTCTTGAAGCAAGGTCTATTGCTGACTGCTTATTTTTTTAGTTATTGATTTTCGCCATTTTGTATTATTTGCACCTCGTATCGCGATATCTGAGCTATGAATATTACAATTAGGAAACAATTTTCCATCATACCTGAATCAACCGCCGTTTTCCATGAATTTCCTTCAAATAGAGTAGGGAGCAAGGTACGTGGCGTGTATAGGACGCGTGGAGGAGAGGAAGTATGTCCATAAGCGGGGACGAAAGAAGCTAGTCTAGGAGCGCACCCATACTCCGCTCAGCCGGATTTTCTCCCATTGCAAAAGCCGACCGTAGCCACCGAAAAACGACGATTGCAAGTGTCAGTGCGAAGCATTGTGCCCTGCTACACATTTTCCATCCTTTTGCCCCCGACTTTCTAGTATCTACAAATATGTAAAAACACAACTGCGCACAAATTTGTTAGATTGATTGTAAAGTGGAGAGGATTGCAAATGGTTTACAGAGAGACAAATATACCTAGAGGCCGGCTTGGAACAACTAGGGCCCTAAGAAAGTCCTTGATTTCCTATTTTCTCTGAGACGGATTATAAGGACTATTTGATCATTCAAGCTGAGCAACTTGCCGTCATTTAAAATTTTGTTGATGTTCCTACACAGATAATCACCTATGAGTGAAACTACTTCATCTTCTCAGTTCTTTTCTCCCTCCGAGCATCGTTTGCTCCTTCATTCATGGTTCCGATGCGGAAGAAAGTCCTGCAACGCAAAAACAACTGCAGAGCCTCATTAGGCATCTCAGGATATATTTTAGAAGCACTCTTGCACATATTTGAAATCAATCCAAGGCCTCTTCTCAAGCCATCGCTATTCCATTGGCGGAAATGCTGCTCAAGACACTCCTCATCCAATCGGCCGAAGGCTTGAGGAGGCCTTTGAAGCTTCTGCAAGTGCTTTCGCTGCAGGCTAAGTGAGGATGCCTTGATGAAAGTTTGAAGGAAACGAATCCAGCAGTGAGAAAGGCCTTTTTGATGCTCAGAAAAGTCAAAGGAATACAAAAGAAAGCCACTACATAGAGTCAGTGTGCTTCTGTTTCGTCAATAAGAAACTGATGAAGAGGAATGAATAGTGAAGGGAGCGAGAGAGTAACCAACCGCCGCGAGAGCTCGGATGGTAATGGCTAGACCTGTGCGAGTCATTTGGTTTTGTGAAATGGATGTTTTGATAACGCATGCGTATTACATAGGTGCGCTCTGCTGCGCTGAGAATTCCAACCCTCTTATGACTCCCCCCTGGTAGGGAGAGTATTCTTTTTTTTAATAACTGCATAGCAGCTTTCTGGGACACCCCGTATTCTCAGAAAGATTTGCCGATTCCCTCGTAAATTTTTGCACGTATGGGTTATCTGGTTTTTGAGACAACTCTGTTGGTAAGAAATTCTCGTTTCCTTTTTCCCCCCTGTGGTACTACCAGACAAGATGGTTTTGGTGTGACAGTACACTTCCATCAGGCTTGCTGCTCAGTTTTCATTACTGATCCGTAGGTCGAGTGTTTCGTTGCACATTCGGTGAGCTCATTTGCTATGCCTGCACTCTTGACCTATGATAGAGCTTGGTTCTCTATTGGAATATAACAGTTTCCTAATTGGGATGCAAGCAGCTCAAATTTGAATGCCATGCAAGAGAGAGAGAGAGAGAGAGCGAGAGAGAGAGTGAGAGAGAGGTCATTTTAAAGAGCGAAATAGGGCAGATTCTTCCAATAAGTTTCCCTTAGCCCAATGCGGACCTATCGACCCTCTTCGAAAATTGAATATTAAAAAATAAAAATAAAATTTTAATCAATATTTGAGAGCTGCTAAAAAAAAATTCGCATATCAAAAACTTTCGTAATATTATTCGTATTATAGGATTCCAAGGCTTGAGGAAACGAAATAATTCCATTTCAGTTGATTCAGTGATTTGTTAGTTCACCTTATTCTTCATTCCATCTTTCACTCATTTCGGCAGGATCATAACGAGTGTTCCGGGGAGGAAACCCCCCCCACCGCTTATTTCCTCTATGCTATACTCATGGGCTCATTAAGCTCATTAAGGTGTATTGTAGTGCACCATAATCATTATTTTACATTACGAGTATGAGAAAGTACTGTAAAACTTTGCCCATTTACGCGATTCATTGCAGTGCAATACTTATATGGGAAGTAATACCCCTTTGTCTTCAATCATACGAAACAAAAAAATCTTCTATGTACCATAGAGTATCCAAAATATGTTACACCTGTAGAATTATTGGTAATGGTCTAAGGCAGTGGTGCCTAACCTTTTCGGTTAGGAGGCCAATAACTTACTCTCACAGCCATCGCGGACCAGTCACTAGTATCGTAGGAGACTATTTAAGGAAACCTAAGGGTATTTATTGTGGGTTAGGACCTCACGGGCCACTTTTTGCCCGCGGGCCGCGGGTTAGGCACCACTGGTCTAAGGTGTGACACACATAGGTTTGTGACCCACCTCAGTTTGTAGTGCACCTATCATATCATTCATGTATAGGTACATAAGGGAAAGGATGAGCGACCGGGAAGGGTTCCGCCTGGTGAACCCGGAGGGAAATGTGGAAGAGCATTGCCCCAATATCTGCTTCTGGTACATCCCCTCTTCCTTAAGAGGCCTTGAGGAAACTCCTGATTGGTTCTCGCGACTTCACAAGGTATCAAGCTCTCGTTCTCATTTTCACTTCATATTATTCTCGGCAGAAAGAAGTTCCCGATCAAACATATCCAATCGATGATATGACAAAGATATACCCAAGTGATTAGAAAACATCTTTTCGAAGTAAGCATTGGATGCAGGGGGGATGAAATATATCAAAGGCAGAAAGTAGGCGTAAGGTTAGAGAGAGAGAGAAGAGTGGGTTAACTGAGCCTATTGGTCCAAGATGTATAGAGGGCGTGGCGAAAAAGACACCCAACAATTTAACTATGAAATCTATGCTCTTACTCTTACTTTTTTCCCCCACGAAACTGCACTGTCCGTACGCTGATTTGTTTCCGAGAGACTTATAAAATTTCAGTAAGTTTTTTTTTTTGCGCCGAGACGAGACAATGACCATGAGAAATGATTGAAGAGAAGTTGGATATTGAAAATGGACACTCGAAGGTGATGGTACTTCGAGGGTGGAGGTACTCAAACGAAAGACCCTTAATAAACGTTCACCCCCTATTCTCCTGGTCAAACAACCAAGTGGTAGATTTGGAACCAGGTGGACGTCCCCCCCTATGGAAATCCACCTTTCCATTCGCGCACATGAATTTCGAGCCAGGCGGATTTTCCCCTGGTGGACATCGCTCCAACAGGTAGAAGTATCGCCTAGGGGTACATCCCCCTGGTTCCAAATCCATATGGGAGGTGTAAGGAGATATAGCTTCGCATTCTGCTTGCATATCAGCCAGGCCACCATCTCAAAAATTAAAGTGAATTCTTCGGGCTTGGAAATGGTTTTAATAATGTTTGTTCCCCCCCCCCCCCCGAAGTAATAACTGATGAATCAATGGGTGTGTCGATATGGTTTTGATCTGAGTTTCCTCAGATTATTCCCACGTTTACGTTGGAGAAGGAAGAAGACGGAGTCTGAGCGCTCTGCTGGGAATAGAGTCTCCCATCTATTTTCAATATTCGATTTCTTTGTAGTAATTACTCATAGCCTTGGTTTGAAGGAACGAATTTGCAAGGAGCACGTAAATGAATGTACGGTGCAAGTTTCTTTAAAATGGCTTTAGTAAGAGCAAGTATACAGGGTTATTAAAAAATCACGGCCTATATGGAATAATACACTTTTTGCAGGGTATATTTGGAAGGATTCAGGCAGCATTTCGTTAGATAACACTTTTCATGTTGGCTTAAATCCACTCTGGAGATGAGTCGCTGAATAGATCGATGCTTTGCCGTCTGTGGGCAACACAGTTAACATTTGCGATGGTATAGTTCACCACTTTCCGTGCATTCCCATATGCGGAGCGACTTTTAAATAACCCTGTACGAGTTTCATTCAGAAAGTAGTGATTATTTCTCAAAATTTGATGAATTTCATTAGGCCTAATTTTGGTTTTTCAGTATTGAACATTTCTAAGTTTTTTTCCCAATAAGAAAGCTCCTAACTGCGCAAATTTGCTTCATCTTAGCCCTTTCTTGCAGATGTTTGAAAAACAAGGTGTTTTTAGATACTGGCAGGAAATTGCTGAATTAAAAAAAAAATCAAGTTTCTGGTGACCAAACAATGGGGAGCAACGGAGACTCATGGTGAGCTTGTAGCTGTCGCAGGAGATGCTGCTCTACCAGAATCCACCATTCGGAGACGGGTGTGAAGTTGGTCAAACCTCGTGGAGGCTGAGCCACACAGTGGCCGGCCAAGTACTGCAGCATCTGAAGTCAGCATCAGTATAGTTGAAGAAACTTTTCTAAAGGATTGTCCCCAATCGGTAGAAGATATTGCTACCGTGTGACATTTCAGTTGGCAGTGCACACGTTTTGACGGAACACTTCAGATGTAGCAGCCATTGGCCGGCCACTACGCGGCTCTTCCTCCACGAAGTTTCGACCATCTTCATGTCAGGTTCGGTTTGAGACTTTTTTATTTTTACTCTTCGGAGGGTAAGTAAGCAATTTTGAATAAGAGAGATACCGATCCCCGTGGCAATAAGGTTGAGGTTGATAGGTGAAGCGGGTGACTCGGATTCAGGCGGTTCCGATACTTAAGGCCCGCAACCTTAGACATGAACAAAGAACTGAAGGCTTCCGTTTCCCAATGCACCCTGAGTTAGTTTTTTTTTTTAGCCCTGGTACACATACCTCGAAACTTTTGGTGTATGCAGTCAACTCATGGGCACATAATCTTTTCAGTGTTGCTTTCTAGCGGTGAAACATGCGACTACTATGACAGAGTACCTCCTGAAACGTTAAACCAAAAAAGGCATATTTTCATTTTGTTCAAAAAATTCATATGTGAAAGGCTTAAATAGCCTAAGTCTGCCTTCGGGACCATCACATTTACTCCTCTTCCCCTTCTCCGAATGGTGGATCCTGGTAGAGCAGCATCTCCTGCAACAGCTACAAACTCTTCATGGATCTTCGTTGCTTTCGTTTGCTTGACCACCAGGAACTTGATCACTCTCTGTTCATTTTTTATTTATTAATCCATTTCCTGCCAACAATGCTTACAATAAAGCATTGATGGAAGTTAATGAGTTTCATGGAGGGGATGCCTTTGTTGGTGATCATAAGTCAATGTGTTGCATGGAAGGTGTTCCATTATAGGTAGCTCCGGAGCTGAAGCGTCGAATGTTGACGAAGGGGAGCCTCATGGTGAGTTATCAGCCCTTGCCTCACAAGGGACTGGTGAATTTCTTCCGCCTCACGCTCACTAGCACCCCGAGGCTCACCCACGAGCACATGGACTTCATCCTCGACGAATTCGATGCCCTTGGATCCGACATCCAAATATCATGAGACCGACGAGGGAAAATAAAAAAGAGATTCTTTCCTAGCCTGGGTGTATATGCAGTAGGTCCATCCCGTTCGGAGTAATGAGTATTGTGTAAATACGGGGGAGGAGGATGAAGCAAGCACTATGGACTCATTAGAGGAGTCACTGAAAACATACCCTGGGCGAATCACGTCACTATCCATCTTCTTTTATTTTATCTCCACGGCCAAAAGAAAAAACAAAATACTCGGGGAGAGAAAGAGAGAGAGAGAGACGAAGAGACGAAAGAAGCACTGGTACAGTGCTCCTTTCTTCATTTTTTTCATTTGCTCCTCCGCATAACTACTAATAGTACACTTTCTTTTATCAACTCGATATTAAACAGGAAATAGTAAAAATGACAGACTTTTAACCCATTGATTTATATAATGAAAATGGGGTTCCCTCCCATTTATAGTTCGTCTATTTTTTTTACTTTCTTCAAAGTAACGAAGTGGAAATACGAAGTAACAAAGGAAGTTCTTCATTGACTCCTATTGATTCGTCAGTCTTAGTTGGGAAAAAAAACTAATCCAAAACTAATCTCTTGACTAATATGCGGCAGGAATGCAGGCAAAAGAATGCATCTTCATTGAATAGCTGTCTGATGACGTCTCCACGATCTGAAGCCACGAAGTGAAGGTATTTTCCCCACTCGTCTCCCTGCATGGGCATGTTCAATTTCACCGGTTTTTCAAGTATTCATTCTTAGCCTTGAATTTAGCCGCGCTACTTTGGATGGAATTCACAGGTCTGTGACTAGTGAACGTTTGATGAAAATATTTATAAGTGCAGAGATAGGAGAGTTTACTGTCGGGGACTCATTTTTTTTCCCTTCTCCTATATGCATTCTTTGCCAGATGTGGTCTGGGTCAGAGTAGAATCTCTACCCAGATGGAAAGGTGAATTACGGATGAGGGATTTCGGAGAGATATTTGAAATCGAACTCCGAGGATTCCGGGATTGAAGGCAGGAAGGACGGAGTCCTGGCCGATTTAAGTCGCTTCACGAGCTGTTTCATCATCCCCTTCTCACCCCCTTTCCCTTCTCACCCTCCTTCCCTTTAGTAGCATCGGACGGTGAAGGACGAAGGAGGAACAGCAATTCCATCCACATTTCCATCTTCTAATGTAATTCATAGTCGACAAAGTTTTCATATTGATGTGAGAATAGCCCAATACGGAGTGATGTGGAATTCTTTTGCGGCGGAGCTCGTGATTTTAGGGATGTAACAACGTCCGCGCCCTCTGGCGTTTTGCATGGTCGTGTACAACCACCATCGTGAGGCCTCAAGATGCTACTCGTGGGTGCAACTTGTCGGAGTGGAATATGACGCGTTTTGAGCGGCGTGCGGACTCGAGCTTTTGCTTGCCTTTCCGGCAAGAATGCCACCAACACTCACACGGTGTTGCTGTTGGCATAGTGGCGTGATGTCCGATCGCGTGCGCAGGCGCTCGAGTGGCATTGCCTTTTCAAATATGAACGTGAGCCATCGGAAGGGGATCCACGATCCGAACTGTCCTTATAAGTGTGAATTCAATTCACACTTCATCAGTGATTTCACGATGCATATTTTATAAGTTTTCATCGTCTCATAATTCCTGAACTCTGCCTGTGACATTCAATTCAATATGGTATTTTGCAGGGAGAAATTTTGCGAAAATGTAAATTTTGGGTAATTGTTTTCTTTAATATGTAAAGCCGTTTTCCCGAAGTGTTGCCTGGAAATTGCTTATTCATCTATATGCAGGATTGTACCATAAATGTATGCGAACAGAGACTTTGAATCAGGATGAAATATGAACCTGGAGGCGTGGAAACTTACCTGAGTCAATTGAAGAGACTAATGCAGCTGATCTGACCCCTGAACTTCATTGCAATATTCTGCGAAACATAATTGCACTTTAGCGTTGATAATTTGCATGGCTTTCTCCGGGATGATGGAGATGCTAAATTAAACAAAAGCAATAAATTGATGACATCATGCATCACAATCTAGGCGGAATTCTCAGTGACTCTTTGAGTGGGAGGGAGGAGTGGATGCAGCGGCGTAGCGTCGGGGGGGGGGGGGGCAAGTAGAGGCACGGGCCCAGCCGCTGCATCCACTCCTCCCTCCCACTCAAAGAGTCACTGAGAATTCCGCCTAGATTGTGATGCATGATGTCATCAATTTATTGCTTTTGTTTAATTTAGCATCTCCATCATCCCGGAGAAAGCCAAAAAAAAAGAAGGTAAATATTCAGAAATGCATGATAACTGTATCTCAGTTCCCGTGCCCCTACCACCACTTTTTCCCTCCACGCTACGCTTATGAGTGGATGTTAACTCCACGTCAAGGCATTTGCTGGGCGCTGGGATTACAACTCAGACATTCATTCGGGCCTTCTCGTACAGACAAAATGTCAAATTCTAGGGTTGTAATAATGGGCGGCTCGTGATATTCAGCTGAATATTACGAGCCGCCATTAGTTTTAATACTCTTAAAGAAAACGTGAGAGGACTAGGGACTCTTCTGTATAAAACCAGGCCTGGTATGCCTGGAAAAAATGCCAAGAAACGCCTGTTTGAAAACACGATAGGCCGAGGAGGGACCATGATGGAAAACTAGTCCTTGCGAACGCATGCAAGACAGATTGGGTTCTTCTTAGGACTAATATAATTCAGGACGATCAACAGAGTTGGAGAGGGAGAAGGCGTGTGGGAGGCTGAGACGGGGGCGGTGATGAGGATAAAGGGGAAAGGGGAAAATGATTCTGGGAAGAACTCACCACGCCTCCTGTTCATCCAGGGCAAATGGCTCTATCCCTTCAATCCTATCCTCCTCCACGCCAATGAGAATATGAGACCGACGGCAAAAAGAATCTATCATATAATGTGAGAGTCAATATCGGCTAATATGCTTCCTTACGCCTCTCTAATCCGTGGAGAGAGATGAAGGACATAATGGAACGAATTGATCACGGTGTACCGGCACGGGGTCCGTCCCCGGTCGTTCCTTTGCATCCTCTCTCCCATACAATAGGGTACATAATGGTTTAATATTTCAGCAGACTGGTACTCGGCAAAACGAAACGGAAATGGAAATCGCATTAAAAATGAGAGGCACACGAGCTGCGAACTGTAATGAAAATGAAAATCGAATGAAAGTAGGCCTACGTTGAAGGTGATGTCGAAAGGGACGGAAGGAGTTCCTGAGGTGTCGGGGTGTGGAGGAGAAGGTTCAACGTTTCTTCAAGGATCTCTCTTCTCAATGGTGCTCGATGGGCATTTCTGTCTCTCCTTTTCCTTTTTACCTCTTGAAACGTCCTATTCAATGTGCATTCCGTCCTTGGTCTTCATTTATTTCTGGATGTGGAAAAGGTCTTCTGCTTAATCAGATATAAACTTTAAAGGGCTTTCCCTCCCACCCGCTTGTCAGTTTTAATTTCGTTTACTCGAAGAATTGACAGCTGGAAAGCATTTGGTTTGCATCGATTTTAAATGTCCCTCCTCTTTCCTCTAGAAAATACGACATTCCGGCTCGTGGGAATAAGCATCGCAAACGAGGTCAGACCACATTGGAGGAGTGAATAAAGTTTCCTAAGGTCTGCTGGGTCTCTTCCCTATCCTTTCAACGTTTCTCTCGCTTGGCCACCTTTCGAAGACAAAAATGCCGTTTTTATTCAATATTTTTCTGCCTAATAGACTGATGCATAATATTTTTACGATGCATGCTTCATTGGATGAAAAGCAGCAATTAATTGCGCGCCACACACCGATGAATCGTGCTTCAATTCTTTCAATTCGTTGAGTTCCATCCAATGAAGCGTTTTCGATACACGCTTCACGGGAACGTTTCACCAGTGGCCCGTGCCTCTATTTATCTTGGGCCCGTGCCACAAAGGAGCGTCGATTTGACATTCATCGAGGAGTTCTCTGGAAAAGGGGCGTATGTGCCCATACGCCCTTTTTTCATATCCGTGTCCATGCGGTACTTTAGATGACTAGTCATAGGATAGGGTGGTCAGCAAGTAGTTAACATGCGTATTCAGCAAAGGATAAGCAGATTTTCCTATGATCTCACTATGCAGCAGGCCAAGTGCCTGGCAATTTCAATATGGCTGCGTCCATGAATATTCCATTAGCACTTGCATGCTGAACGATTTTGGTGGAATTATTTTGTCCTTTTAAACTGAAAGTGAAAATGAGGAAGAAACCAGATACGAGGAAAGGGAAAGAAAGAGGCTGAGTCATTGAAGCTTCTGGAAGGATGTGAGAAGTTTGAGATATCCATGAAATAGTTGCAGATTCAGACGATGAATACATTAATAATGGATCACTGCTGAGTGATTGGTGAATGAAACGTGTCCTGAATATTCACATTTTTATTGCTCTTCTTCAAGAGTTTATTTGAAATCTGTAGATGCATTTATTTGATTAATTATTATTTTTAACTGGAAAGGAGTGGTGACTAAGAAAACTAAGAAAAAGTTTCAGCAGTGCGGATATGGAAAAAGGGCGTATGTGCATAAACACCTGCATCCCAGCAATGTGAGATAAAGAAATTCATTAAAACCCCACGTTCAATTGGAAAAAGGTCTGAGATGCCATTTTACAGATAATTAAATTTTAACCAGCTTCAGATTAGCCATGATAAGTTTTTATCGTTTTTCTCAAATTGCATCTTTTGCACATACGCCCTTTTTCTAGAGAACTCCTCAATTCAGGTCGAATACGTCGATTCTTGGGGTAGGTTGATTGGTTGCCGTTACGTCAATGTTTCTTTGACCTACATTGTTGGAGGTTCTGTCAAGGCTTCCTCATCGGTCTCACTTGTCCCCCTCACTCCAACAGGCTCACGGAATAATCTTAATTCCCCAGACACTGGCATCCAAACCCAGCCACCCAGTAGTAATATCTCGTGCGTTCCTTTGATATCTGGCTGGAAGAGTGAGAAAGACAATTGATTTCGAAAAATTATCGATGATTTACCATTTTTCCCCCCTTTTTACGTCTC